TGCACTTGTGAGTCGTACTTACTAAGCCTTGTCCAAATTCACACTGCAAAGTCCTTGTTTGCACTTGTGAGTCGTACTTACTAAGCCTTGTCCAAATTCACACTACAAAGTCCTTGTTTGCACTTGTGAGTCGTACTTGCTAAGCCTTGTCCAAATTCACATGTGGAGATGGAAAAATAATAATTTTTGTAGACTTTATATAAGCATTTTGGGGTACAAAAATGTATAAATTACTATACCATACTCCAAAAATCCACTGTAATTTATCAGGCTTCCTAACTAAATTGTATTTGGGTCTAAAAAAATATAATTTCTATTCACAAAATAGCCTTCATAGCAATACTTCAAACTTTCCAATGATACAAGCGCATCTCTCTCATAAACAACTTACGAAGACTGACAGAATTATGTAGAATGAATATATAGCTTTCGACTGATTATAAAGTTATTGGTATATAAAAGTAGGCATAGATAAATAAGTCTTCTCAAATGATGAAGTGGTGGGCAGAGCCAATATGGTGGGTTCACTAAATATCATGATATCTCAGCAAATAGAAAAGGTAGGAGGTTTTTTATTTTATATCTTAGCTTGCCAATATCAAACATTTGAGTTTCTAATTTGTATGAAACTATAGACGTTGTATTGAGGGCATCATAACATGTAATCTGACCAAACCCAGAAGGCCACGTACCATGTGAAACACAAAAATTGATATTTAGCCTTTTTTTTAATACTTAGTTTCAAATTAAGAAACTAACTAATGTATAATATTAAAATTTGAATTATAATCTACAGTTTGATACCAAACTTATTGACATACGTTTATAAAATAATAGCTAAATAGAATGTTGAATGTAAATCTACAAATGTGATGACATGCCCTTTGACCTCTACCCATCTCAATAGGTTTAAAGTGTTGACCGCTAATGTGCAAAATGATTTTCATGTTAACATCAAAAATAATTTTCTTTATCTAAAAATTCTCAAATTTCATGTACATAATCTCTAAACCTCCGAAATAAATGTCAAACATTTTTCTTCAGTAAACCTTTATATTTTATCTGTTATTTTCTGTATCCTAAAACCCCCCGAAATAAATGTCAAACATTTTTCTTCAGTAAACCTTTATATTTTATCTGTTATTTTCTGTATCCTAAAACCCCCCCAAAATAAATTTCAAACATTTTTCTTCAGTAAACCTTTATATTTTATCTGTTATTTTCTGTATCCTAACTCTAAACCTGGTTGATCAATTTTATAACCACAAAATAAACCTAACTTACCTTTACTTCTTTCTGGAATGATTTCAAATGTAACATGACACTACATTTGTTTATCCTAAATAGCTTTAAACTCATAACACTATACATTCATTTATATTGTCCTTTGAACAATGTCTAACGAATATTACTACCACACATGTTGTAAATCAGTTGGCAAACATGTAGCTCACGTTACCCCATCAAATTATTTAACACATGGACTTCTCACAAGTGCAACTGTAAATCAGCTGGCAAACATGTAGCTCACGTTACCCCATCAAATTATTTAACACATGGACTTCTCACAAGTGCAACTGTAAATCAGCTGGCAAACATGTAGCTCACGTTACCCCATCAAATTATTTAACACATGAACTTCTCACAAGTGCAACTTATGAAAATGTATTATTACTATTACTTATTTTAACTAATCTAACCTAAAAAGCTTCTAATTTTTACATTTTAGTTATTTCTATAATAATAAATAAAGAATACATACAGTACCTACCTGTCAACTGTCAATGAAACTTAACCCTACTTTTTTTTATATACTAATGGTACTACTGCAATAAATAATTTTTTATTTAACTACATAAGGCACAAAAGAATAGCAACATGTAAAAAGTAGAGAATATTATATAACTATCACAATTTTTCTTGTTTTGTAACTATGACTACTGCTAAAATTTCGGCTAAGCTAGAGTATGTCTTTCCTGTGGGGAGTGAAAGAGTCAATCATCTGTACAGAAAACTACCTAATATAATATGTCATTTGATTGATTAAAATTTCAGCTTTCTACTGTTTATAAATGTCAGAGAGAACTACTGGCAATATTTGAAAGAGACGATGTGACAGATGGGTTTCATTATCTATTTCATGGTTCTGGAACCAATTAACAAAAAGAAAGACACCTAAAGAGCAAATGTCACAATTCCCACACTAGGAGAAATTAAGGATTTTTCTTTTAATATTGATTTATAAAACTAAGAATTTAAATCTTATATAATATTAAAATTTCGATCATTAGCAACGTTTTTATGTCAACTTTATTCCTATGCCATGATAAGAATGTAGTTTAATCAAGTTTTGAATATAATTCACTAAAATCTTGTGACATGCACACAAAAGGAAGACCATTGAGAGAGGGCTAAACGTGGAAAAAAAAAAGAATTATGTGTTGTTCTTACTCTACCCAGGTCATCAAACTTACCCGCACGACATGATTAACCCTTTTGCATTGGATAGGTCAAAGTGCACATGACACAATCTTTCACAGAGTTACATTCAAAATTTAGTTAAACTACTATATTATCAATGTATACAAATAAACCTAGCACCATAATGTAGCTAATACACACAATCATTTAAGAAAAACCACAAATTGTGAAAATGGGGCACACTAGAAATAATGAACATCTTACCTTATTGGCTCTTTGCTTGTTACGTCTGTCATTCATCTTAACTTATTGGCTCTTTGCTTGTTACATCTGTCATTCATCTTACCTTATTGGCTCTTTGCTTGTTACATCTGTCATTCATCTTACCTTATTGGCTCTTTGCTTGTTACATCTGTCATTCGTCTTACCTTATTGGCTCTTTGCTTGTTACGTCTGTCATTCATCTTACCTTATTGGCTCTTTGCTTGTCAGCATATACCAGGCTACTCGGAGTTTCTGCCACAGTGACAAGGAAGCCAGCACCCTCTGCAGGGTGATCTGAATAGGTCGATCACCCAGATGAATTAAACAACCTGGAACCTTTTTGGCCTGTAAAAACAAGATAAGTCCTTATTTTTGTGAACATGCAAATCGAAGCACCCAACCAAAGTATGACGTACCTCCTGCTTCTTGTGAGTTGTTCATTAAAACCTAATAAACACAAATGTTCACACCACACCAACACAACATTATACACATTGTATGTTACATAAAACACCAGCAAAACATTACACACAATAAGTAACACAAAACATATTACACAATACAACACACCAACATGATATTACACAGAAACTACACAAACAGGTTACGTTAACAAATTTTAAGTTTTAAAATATTGTAGTCTTAGAAAGCTAGATGACCAATATACATGGTAGCACTTTCATGTATTTAAAAACAGTTTCAGATGTAAAATATAGATATCTCAGGCAACATTGAGTACCAAGTATGTAGCTTTAAGATCTGAAGACATGATACTTCTGTGTATATAAATAAGCTAGGCCTAACACATAGATATCTCGGGCAACATTGAGTACCAAGTATGTAGCTTTAAGATCTGAAGACATGATACTTCTGTGTATATAAATAAGCTAGGCCTAACACATACTTCAGCTGGAATCCATAGTGACAGATTATCATATTTTGTACTTACTTACACCAATAACATTTTGTAAAATGGTTTAAAAACATGCTATTTCTAGCAATATTAACATGCTTATATTAAAAAGTGTAAATAAAAATTGACTGACAGAAAGATAAAAGAGGAAAACTTACTTCAGAAAATGCTCTACGAAATTCTCCACCAGGAGCCATCCCTAACTCCTTAGTTAAGTGTGCTGACATACTGAGCAGAAGAAGGTACATAACCCCCTGAACCAGTCCATTCTACCAAACAAAGTAGTGTAATATTACAACTTAAACAGTTGATATCACACACAAAATGATATTCTCTATACCAGTACATTCTACCAAACAAAGTAGTTTAATATTACAACTTAAACAGTTGATATCACACACAAAACGATATTCTCTATACCAGTACATTCTACCAAACAAAGTAGTTTAATATTACAACTTAAACAGTTGATATCACACAC